CAAATAGTGAGGAGGAAAAAATTAGCTACCCAAATTACCTTGTAGATCAGCGGTTCTCAACCTGTGGGTCGCGACCCCATTAGGGGTTGAATGACCATTTCACGGGGATCGCCAAACAATGCAGTCTGCCATTTTTCCCCCTTTTCCTTAGCTGTGCTACTCTTTTATTCTATTGGCTTTTGAAAGCCAATAGAATAGACTCTTGAATAGAGTCTAATTCTATTGGCTTTCAAAAGCCAATAGGAATTTTCCAGGCTGACTCTGCCCTGCTGAGCCCGCCAAAAGTCCCATTCTGCAAACGGTGCTGCAAGTTGTCTGCAGCGAAGGCGAGCTGTTTGGAAGTTTCCACCCCTCCCTGCTGAGCAACTACTAAAAATGTAAGTAAAAGAGGGCCAGGGGTGGGAAGTGGGAGGTCGGCGGGTGCAGGGAGGGTTGCTGGTGCGCATGGGGCCTGGCGGGTGCCTTACCTCCCTTGGGCTGGGCCAGCTGGTGGCCCAGCCGGTGGTCGCCCTGCGCCGTCGCTGCCCCTTGCAAGCTACGCCTCGATCAGCACGGGGTGGCACCACGCATGCACGGCGCTCCCAGGCATGGAAAGTCCTTGACTGAAGACCGGTTGGGTAGTCCTCGACTTACGACCAGATGGGGGTCGCGGCCCTAAAAGGTTGAGAACCACTGTTGTAGATGCTTGTCATTGTTGAATTGGATTATAGCAATGATTTATTGTTGAATTTGATTATAGCAATGATTTAGACTTTGGAATTTATTTAATAGCCGAAGGGGAGAAAATATGAAGAAAGATATTGAAGAAATGGTTTTGTTCTTTTGCTCTCTTCACTTGAGTAGAAGGCATTCAAAATGTTGCACGAAGGGGTGCTTTGAAGTTGAAAGCAAACCAACATCTATTCCTCTCATTTAGTATATTTCCTCCCTCAAGTTAATCTACCCAACATAGGCTAAGGGATGAGTTTAGGTAAGGAATGGTTTTGTCTGCTATTTATTGTTCACTTCTATAACACAGAAAGGAAGATTCAATTTTGGTCAACTTTGAGAGGAAGCTTGATGGTTTTTGCTGTTTTTTATAGGTTATCCTTTGACCATTTTGCACCTAATTATATATCTCGAAGAGGCTTCATTGCAAATTCAAGAAACATCTGACACTGTTCAGAAAAGCAATGTGTGCCATCTTTTCTTGTTTCATGGTGAGAAGCCTTCATACTTGTACAGGTAGTCCTTGACTTACAACAACTTGTTTAGTGAGTGTTTGAAGTTGCAACATCACGGGAAGAGAATGACTTATGACCATTTTTCATACTGAATGACCGTTGCAACATTCCCATGGTCATGTGATCAAAATTAAGATGCTTGGCAACTGGTTCATATTTATGATGGTTGCAGTGTCCCTGGATCATGTGATCACCTTTTGCAATCTTCTGACAAAAGTCAGTGGGGAAGCCAGGTTCACTTAACGACCTTGTTACTAACGTAACAGCTGCAGTGATTCACTTGACAACTTTGACAAGAAAGGTCATAAAATGGAGCAAAATTTACTTACAACTGTCTGTCTTAGCAATAGAAAGTTTGGCTCAATTGCAGTCATAACTCAGTAGATTTTTGAAACTTGATCATATGGCAGTGAATGGAGCATCAAGGGCCATGTGCACATACCACTTTATCAGTTATCAATGAGGAATTGTTTCTGTCATTGATGGCCACAGTAACACTATTTCTGTATGACCTATAAAGCACAGTTTGGATTGCATGAAAGTGCTCCCAGCAATAAAACGAAAATAAGAGATGGAAGGATGGAAACAGAAGGAGAATGAAAGTTATGGATAATTGTAGAATGTTACTGGGACAGAATGGAAAAACTTTGAATCCTGGCGATGAAGTAAAGATGACATCTTTCATTGATTTTTGCATAGGTATGTACACATGTGAGGATGAATTACATGAGGTTGGTTGGGATAAGAAAAAGTTAGTTTAGAGGGAAACTGGAGGCAGAAGTTGCATGTGAAGAATTTGCAAATGTTCTCCCTGTTAAGTAGCAGAAAGCAAGGAAGAATGTGTAATCAATTGCTTTTATATTAGGACATCAACTCTGAGGGATGTTTTAGAATTTATTTCAAATGAATAACAAGAGGAGAAAGAATGGAGTGGGTAAATAGAGCCTAAACTAAGCATACTGTCAAATTTGTTTTGTACAGATTAATCGCCAGATGAAAACAGAAGAACAGATGGAAAGCCACCTTGCAGTTGAACTGAAGCTCCACCAGCAAGTTAACATGAAGGCTTCAGCTTCCTTCAAAAGCTGGGCAAAGTTCCATTAATCCACTATTTTCAAGGTTCTCTATGAATATCCACGATTCTTTTAACCATTTTGGATAGAATACATAAACAGGTTGTTACAAACAGTAGGTTTTTCCTTGTAACTTTGATGAATAAAATTTTCACTTATTTTTTGTAATAACTTGGCTTTTTTGTTTATTTGAATTTTCTGAACAAAGTAGCCTGACTTAGTTCATTTATAAATATTTTCTCTTGGTAACTCCACAAAGTATTAATAGGTCATTGTCATACTTTTCACAGTAGCCATCTGTAGAATTCAAATAGTTTGCATTGAAGCGGGAATAAAATTTACTTATTTCTATAAATAATAAGTTCCGGCTAAGTAGTGCATTTACAAGTAAAGAATAACACTAATGGGCTTTTAAAGCAGAGATAAAGTCCAGTTCTAGATAAACATTTTGGGTTCCTTCTAGATTGGAGCAAAAGAGTAGGTTATCAGGTTGAAATAGTCTTGGGACCTTTACTAGGCCCAATCAAAAAATCACAAATCAACAAACATTTCGGTTGAATGTTTTTCTTCTCAGTGAATCTCACACAGAACTCAGAAGATGGAATATTGGGATATTCAAGTCTCAAAAGTCTGCATGTCATAAACTCGGTATTTTGCTTAGTGCAGGAGGCGAAATCACATACAGTAGAACAGTGTTTCTCAACCTTGACAATTTTAAGGCATGTGGACTTCAACTCCCAGAATTCCACAGCCAGCAATGCTGGCTGTGGAATTCTGGGAGTTGAAGTCCACATGCCTTAAAATTGTCAAGGTTGAGAAACACTGCAGTAGAAGATCTGTCATGATTGCCTAATTATTGCAGTAGCCCTTAATGTATTTTTTCTTTTGATTTCAGTTTTAAAATAGATTTAGACATACAATTAAGATCAAGAGCTGAAATCTAAATGGTCTGCCAGTCCTGCATTTAAAAAAAAAAAAAGGTGCGCAAAATATTTTAAGTTTCAAACAGTTGTCTTGAGAGGAAGACTTTCTGCTCTGAGCTTATTGGAAGTATTTCAGTACTTCCATTCTGGAAAGGGAACTGTTTGGAATTTAGAATACTTTCCAAAATAGGCAGAATGCATTCATTCAGTAATTTTGGGACAGCTGTTGCAAACTCAAAATGTTCAATATACCACTAAAAAGTAGGCAGGATCAGGATAGAAAAATAGGAGGCAAGGGAGAAAAACACATTTTTAGCCTACTCTATCTTAAATGGTGCGGTTCTTAAAGTAGCATTTTCCCAGTCTATTCCAATAGAAAACCTACCATAATTCAACAAGAAACTGAGCTAGATCTGCAGAAAGTTATTGCAAGAGCCACATACAGCTACCAGTTGTCCTTTGACCGAGAAGGCCTAAATAACCTCATATATTCGATAGTTTGTCCATGAAGACAGTTTGATGGGTTTGAGGCTTGGACTTCATGATCAAACTGCATATCAAGATATTTCAAAGGCTCATCTTGTAGAAATCCATGGGAGATCGATGCTGTTGTCCTGCAAAAGAGAATTTTGTGGTCCAGTAACTGTTTATAAAGATGGCTACCCTTCTGTGTAATCCATTTGTCATTCTGAGAGGGTTGTGGGGGGGGGGGGGAATGGCAGATGGAAGGGAAATAATACTTCCTTGTTTTGTTCAGCTTGATTTTGTTTTGCATTGGATTCCTTGTTTTGGACCACACTGTTTTTGTTCAGTTGCATTATAATTATAGTGTACTATGAATAAATTTGCTTCTCATTTGTAACGACCTTTTGGGAGGCAGGTTCCCATTCTGCTGTATCTTATAATACTCTGTTTTCTTTCTTTCCTGATTTTTTTCTGCTTCTTTTGTATCTTAAGGTGGTTTAATAAACTTACGTAAATAAAAAAAATGTATATATAGTCAATTATTTTTCAGATGGATTTGACACCATTATGGAAAAGCCCATAAAAAACATCAGTTCACAAAGACTGCAATCTGCAGGAAGTCTATTCTAAATTCCCCTTTCAAAGGGAATTATTAGTGCAGTCCTATAGTTTTGGGACTTCCATTTCTCTGAATCTTTCTCACTGTGCTGGAAGCTGGGATTGATGGCAATTGACATTTTAAATCAAATGGAAATTCTTGGGTCACCTACTTGGTTTAATTAGATCTGCCTTTTAGTTAGTTTGCACATACTTATTTGGGATGATAAGTCTGGTGTAGCACATTGTGGTTTGCTGCTGATCAGACGTGCGTCAGCCTGCCTGAAAATCAAATAATGGTTGAGAACTTTATTACAAACTGGGAATTTCTGCAAAATCACCAGTGTAGATCAATTATAAAACTGCTAAAATCCCCACCCACAGGATTGTGAATGATTGTATCTCATAGTTTGAGTATGAAATTGCAGAAGAGGAAGCAGAGATCTGTTAGTCTCTGGTGCTAGTCTGAACAGATAAGACTGGGTTGATAGTAGCTTACCAGCAGCCTGATAAAAAGTGTAAGATAATGAAAGATGTTTAAAATGTAAGCTGAGATTCTCTAGCAGCCCAACACCGATAACAAAAATGGTGGCTAAATGTTGTATCAAAAATAAATGTTGCTGATGTTCTATTACTATATTATTTATACTGTATACGTTCCTGCCTCTACATTCCATTCATTTAATTAACACTTGGCTTCCCCCATTTTTCTAATACAGCTCCGAGACACGTATGCAAAGAGTAGCTTTGCTTGCTTCACCAGAGAACATTTTTTCCTAGAAGATATGGATCCAAATGATAAAGAAGATGGCGATCCTTGCTGGGAAGTCAAATGGCAGCTGTCAAGGCTTGTTAGAAAGGTACTCCCTTTTTAAAATACCCATCAGTCTTGTACCAAATGGGAGACATGGTTTCAAGGATTTTACTCCTTTGTAAGATTTATAGTGTCTGCTTTAATAAATTATGTCTGAACTTTCTGGAGTATGCTTTTAAAATTCTAAAATGCAGATAGAGAAACAGTTGCAATCAGATATTCCAGATTATCACCAGCTTCTGTGTATGTGTGAGATTGCCCCAAGGCAGGGGTAGGAAACTTTGGCTCTTTTATGACTTGTGGACTTCAACTCCCAGAATTCCTGAGCCAGGTATGTTATGCTGACTCAGGAATTCTGGGAGTTGAAGTCCACAAGTCATAAAAGAGCCAAGGTTGCCTACCCCTGCCCCAAGGGTTACATTCCTACATCCATACTTTGTAAGAAATACTGGTGGAGAGCCAGTTTGATCTAGTGGTTAAGATACCAGGCTAAAAAGCGGGAAACAGCGAGTTCAAATCCTGTCTTAGCCATGAAAGCCAGCTGGATGACATTAGCACAGTCACTCTCTCTCAACCCAACTCGCCTCACAGGGTGAGGCGGAAAATAAAAAGAAATTGGATATATTTTGTCATTTTGAGTTACGTGTAAAAATAATGCAAGGGATACAAATAAATAAATGAATAAAATACCTCATTGGGACTGCCGTGGCTGCATAATTCCTAACTTGTTCAGATTTACTGATACCAGACTTCACAAAAATTCAGTTAAAAGTGTTTCAGAGTGCGTGCTGCATCTTCATTTTACAAACTTGCTGTTTTTATCACATTGCACATTATTAATATGCTTTTCTTAATTTCTTTCTAGTCCAACTGTTTCAATTTGTCAGAGACTGGTTTGAATTTGCTCTGCTTTGAGGCTTTATTTATTTATTGGATCCTGAAAAATAGAAGAAACATTTCATTAATAAATAAGTAGATACAGGTAGTCCTTGTTTAATAACTCTTCACTTACTGAGTGTTTAAAATTATGACGAATTCTCCCCCAAATGGTACTTGCGGCCCGTTTTGAAATTCTGATGATTTCCACATAGAAAGAAAATTAAAAAAGCATCTTGATAATGTGTCATATGATAAAAAAGTGAGACCTTAATAAAACTAAGATGCAGCCCACATATAGCCACATGACTGCATTTTGAATGCTTGGCAGGTAGTTCATCCTTACAGCCAATTGTAGCATTCTGTGGTCATGCGGATTAATGTTTTTTTTTCAGGAAACTGGCCGAAAAATTTTTCCAGCAAAAAAAAAAAAAAAAAAAATCCATAGGAATGTATTGACTTAGTTAACGACTGCCTTGTTTACTTAACGATTGAGGTTTGCCGTTAAGCAAACCATGCCATGTTTGCTTAACGGCTGCCTCAAAACAGGCACAAAATGCCTCGACTTAGAACCATCATGATTTATAACAGAAACTTTGGACTTCCTTATCTTTATAAGTCAAGGACTACTTGTAAAGATTGTTCTGAATTTTTTATAGACCTAGTTTAGCCACTACTTCCACTTTATAAGACTTTCAGAGCTTTAATCCTCATGTGAGGTATTTTGAGAGGGAAAATGGCATCTGCCTAAACTGTTCTGGGCGATGTGGTTTATTTCTGTTGCTGACTTGAGCGCCAGGAAGAGAGTTAAGGATGTGTCTCTCCTCCTCCCTTTTTAAAGTTTTCAATAACTACAGGTAGTCTTTGATTTACGACCACAGTTGTGTCCATTTTAATTGCTAAGCAAGACCGTTGTTAAGTGAGTTTTGGCCCCATTTTAACAATCTTTCTTGCCACACTTGTTAAATAAATCACTGCAATTGTTAAAGTAATAACACAATTGTTAAATAAACCTGGCTTCCCCATTAAGTTTCCTTGTCAAACGGTTGCCAAAGGTGACCCCATGACCCTGGGACGCTGTAATCATTAGAAATATCAGCCAATTGCCAAGTGTCCAAATTTTGATCTTGTGACTGGGGATTCTGCAATGGTTGTAAGTGTGAAAATGGTTGTAAGTCACTTTTTTTCAGTGTCGTTGTGACTTTGAATGGTCACTGACTAAATGGTTCGAAGTCAAGGACTACCTGTATTTGTAATATGATAGACTTAGAGCTGTCTTGGAGCAGGGGTGTCAAACTTGCAATGTCACGTGACATGTCGCGATGTATTGTGACTTTTTTACCATTGCCAGCAATGGGGCGCAGTTTCGCCATGATGCATCCGGCCCACATGTCGGCAGTTTAACATCCCTGCCTTAGAGGTTGTGTTCTTTTTGGAACATGTAAACTACACATTGGGATAGCATCATAAGGCTCAAGATTATCCAATAAGCTGCGATTGCTGAACTAACTTCTTAGTTTAGAACTTAAATACATGCTCATTGGCTAATATACATATCAACAATTCTGGCTTCCTCTTTGTACATTTTTTGCAGAAGAAGGTTCCTTAGACTCATTCCAAAAAAGTAGTTTTGGGGGGAGATGGAAGTATATAAATCCAGTATTTGGATTCTAATAACACCAGGAGGAAAAAAGATAATTAACTATATTTGTAATTGCAGATGGTGGCCAAGAATCGTGCAGAAGAAGTAACATCAGTTTCGACACAAGGTTGGGAAAGTTTATGATTCATGATTCATGAATGGCTGCATTGTTGCACTGAGGAAATGAATGAGATGGTCATTGAAAGCCAGATTATGATGTAATATAGATTATTTAAAGAAGCTGAACATGGAGCACTGGTCCTAGGAGACACTTCTGTGTCTAAGAAAATGGTTAAATGGAACTCGTCCTTCCTGCATTTTCCGTAAGTGGATAAGGAGATAAAATCATTTATGGAAGCCACAGTCAAGGGACAGAGCAGAGTTTAATTTGCAGAAGGTCTGAGGTCTCCCAGTAAGTGTTGGACAAAACTTCTACCAGTGATCCTGAGGAGATGCCGGTCATCAGAATAAATGTGTGGACACTTTATCTCAACTACAGTTGTGGGGAAGATGGAAGGAAGGACCAAGCCATCACCCCTGCTGAAAGAACAATTCCACTGAGTTCTTCTTCAATGGTTTCCATTTTAACTAGTTCCCTAAAGTGCTAGAGATACCTCATTTTCTTACAACATCCATGTTGCATTTTTCTTTTGAGTTATACCTTTTTTATACTGTTGTATTAGTGCTGTAGTAGCCTCTATAGTCGGACCTGTCTAAGGGAGCCTCCTACATTCCTTCCCATATAAGGTGGTATAAGCATCCTTGTATCTGTTTCATCCTTTCCTATAATATGTAATATATATCTAAATGTGTAAGGTAAGAGGGAAAAAACCATGACATCTATATAAAGTATTGCAAGATGTAAAGGAAAGAAGAGGATTGGGTTTACCTGATATAAAATTATGTTTTGCAGCTTGTTATTTAGGTTGGATGAAAGACTGGGGGTTGCTGAGAAATAGAAGGCTTTTGGAATTAGAAGGACACGATCTGAGATGTGGGTGGCATGGATGTTTCTGGTATGACAAAGCTAAGGTTAACATAGATTTTAAAAGGAGTTCCTGATGGGAAATTAAATGTTGGCATTTCTTTCTATCCAGACAACATTTCACCAGATGCCATTGCAAGAGATGTACCTAGGAACCCCCGAGTCGCAGCTCATCTCACCTCAAGCAGAAATGCAAGGAAAGGTTTATTTGTACAAAGTAAGACAATGCCTTATTCTGGGGAAAGAGGCTAATGTTTAGAGGAATGCAGTTATTTCTTTTACAAATAGTGGCAGCACTTCTCTGAGCTTAGAAGCTAAGCAGGGTGGGGCCTGGTTAATGGTTGGATGGGACATTTCAGGTAAGCACCTTTCCCATTGTTGTAGGCTGAAATCAAAATACATTTTAGGCAAAAGCAGTGGGAAACCACTTTCATATTTATACGGACACCATAAAGCTGCTTTATTGTGTCCTTATAAACACCAGGAATCAAACTTGACAATATCTTTTTTCTTATGAGAAAGAAAAAGCTGATAATTGTAAATTGTAAATCAGAACCCAGAAAATGGAAAGCAAAATTCTGTATTAGGCAGGGCCATCCCACAAATAGTGGTTCTCAACCTGTGGGTCAGGACCCCATTTGGGGTCGAACGACCATTTCACGGGGGTCGCCAAACAACGCAGTCCGCCATTTTTCCCCCTTTCCTTAGCTGTGCTACTCCCTATTATTCTATTGGCTTTTGAAAGCCAATAGAATAGACTCTCTTGAATAGAGTCTAATTCTATTGGCTTTCAAAGGCCAATAGGAATAGTCCAGGCTGTCTCTGCCCTGCTGAGCCCACCAAAAGTCCCATTCTGCAAACGGTGCTGCACCAGTTGAGTAGTCCTCGACTTACGACCGGTTGAGTAGTCCTCGACTTACGACCAGTTGGGGGGGGGGTCGCGGCATTAAAAAGTTTGAGAACCAAAGCATTAAATAGTCCCAGGTAGGAACAGAAATCCTGCCAGTTGGACGTAATACTTTGTATTATGTCATAAAATGCTTGGTGATAATTTTTGTGATAAAATGTTTTATAAAATTCTCCAAATCTTAATTTCACAGGAGTCATAGAACCGGGATTTTGGACACTTTCTCTAAGTTTGCCCATTTGAGTATTATTACGGTATACCCCAAAGATGCTTTTATTTCTAAAATGTAACTGGATTTTCTTCGTTTTTTTCTTTTTGCAACACATTTTTACTTCTCATCGAAGAAGCTTCTTCTTCAGTTCTAACTGAACGGTGGGGAATGGAAAGATTTATATACTTTGTAGGCTTCTGCCTACCTACAGTGTTTCCACAAAAATAAGAGGCACCAGGTCTTATTTTCAGGAGGTGTCTTTTCCACTCACCTCTGCCACTGACAGACCCGCCCAGTCGGCCTACTTCTTATGTAGCCGAAGGAGCAGCTTCATTCTACAGCTGAGAATGAAGCTCCGGCCTGCATTTCGCAGTCAGAGGCCTTTCTGGAAGGCCTCTTCAGCTGAGAACTGAGCTATGGATTCAATCCAAAGCTCGGTTCTTGGCTGTAGAGGCCTTCCGGAAAGGCCTCTGACTGCGAAATGCAGGCCTGGGGATGCCGCAGAAGAAGTGGGCCGGCAAGGAGATGCCTGGCTGCAAGGTAAGTGGGTGTGGAGCATGTGGTCCAGTTCCACACCCCACCCCTGCCATAGCTTGATTTTTAGGTGTTTTTCTCGCCCCAAAGTAGGGCTTATTTTGGAGGTAGGGCTTATATTAGGCCCATCCCCTACAATCAAGCTAGGGCTTATTTTGGGGGTAAGTCTTACTTTCGGGGAAACACGGTAGCACTCTGAAAGTTGTTGAGGCTATTTGGGGACTTATCTGTATCCTCAGAATCACCAAATCGGAGTGTAAACAAGTGTGGAGGTTTCTTGGGATTGCTAGCCTCAGGTACTTTCAGAGAGTGAGCTAATGACCAAACCTCAGATCTGCTAATAATCAGATAACTGCAAAGGATATAAATCCTTCTGTTCCCCACCACTCAGTTAGAACTGAAGAAGCTTCTTGGATGAGAAGCCATACATTTTTCAAGGAAAAAAAAAAGCAATCAAAAAAGTCCAGTTGCCATTTGGGACAAGACTACCTGGATGATTGAGAATACCCATAGACATCACATTATTACACTTTTTTGCCCAGTTAACGGTTGCAGACATGAGAGTTTTGGGATACATGGATGGTCTTGAAACACATGGTGAGAGAGGCACAGACTTCTAAAGGGGCTGTAAAATCTGATTTAGCATAAAAACCAGACTTTTGGTTTTTTTTCCCATTTATTCACTGAGGACTGCCTTTGCAGACTATACAAATGTGATACATGCTATAAATCAAGACAAAGTTAATATGTTGAGAAGGGACAAATTCAGAGACCAATCTTAGCAGGAAATCTGTGGGGTTCCCAGAAGAGTTTAACAAACTCAGCTCAGAACCCCAAATATCCTTTAGAGCCCACCATCCTGGGCTCTCCACCAAGGTGAAGTGAACATTTTCATGTTCCAAAACTCAACGAAAATAGAGTGGATGAATGCAGTCTGCTTCCCTGTGATATTAGGCTTGTGAAACCTGGGCTAGATGAACATAATTATTTCAATTAAATCAATTTGCATTAAAATCAGTGGAGTGGAAGCTAATGATCCCTGCTTTAAGTTGTAATGATTTCACTTGATCAAGTGGTAAATGAGAGAGCTTGGGTCCAGCCCATCATAATCTTTTGCTAGATACTGTTAATTATTTAATGTTACCTCCCCAAATAAATGTGTAGGCGTATTATAGATGTTCTTGATGTATAATTTAGAGGCTACTTGTATTGCATTTTTAAGTAAAGCCAAACACTCTACGTGGGATATAAATATGTTGTTTTTCAAAAGGACTCGTATTCTCTGCATGCAACCTTTATGTAACCTAGCCCAAACTATACTATCTAGAGCAGTGTTTCTCAGCCTTGACAATTTTAAGGCATGTGGACTTCAACTCCCAGAATTCCACAGCCAGCATTGTGAAGTCCACATGCCTTAAAATTGTCAAGGTTGAGAAACACTGATCTAGAGTTTCTAAGAGAAAATTCAAGTGTGACTCCAAAGCAGCCCTTGGAAACTAGCGAGAATGTTCTGGCCATAGAACATGGTCAGGAATATAAGACTAATCCAGGCCTGGAGAAGAAAGCAGCGTGGTGTAGCCTTTTTCCCTCTGATGGCTCACATTATGTCAGATGGCCATGGTGGCAGGGAATTCTGGGAGTTGACGTTCCAACACGTCTTCAGAGCACCACGTTGGGAAAGTCTGCAAATACAGGTAGCCCTGATCTTACGACCACAATTGAGCCCAAAATTTATGTTGCTAAATGAAGCATTTGTTACGACCTTTCTTGCCACAGTTGTTAAGTGAATCACTGCAGTTGTTAAGCTAACAACAGGGTGGTTAAGTGAATCTGGCTTCCCCATTGACTTTGCTTGTCAAAAGGTCGCGAAAGGTGATCACATGACCCCTGGACACTTCAACCGTCATAAATATGAAACAGTTGCCAAGCATTTGAATTTTGATTACGTAACTGTGGCAATGCTGCAACAGTTGTAAATGTGAAAAATGGTCATCAGTCACTTTTTTCAGTGCCGTTGTAACTTTGAACGGTCACTAAATATACTGTTGCAGGTCGAGGACTGCCTGGGGAGTCTTGGAAGAGAGCTGGTCCACAGCCTTGATAAAACTTTCCATTTTGCAACATGTATGACAACAGTAATATGGGTCACTTTCCTTAATCCCTACAAGCGGTGATCATACATAATATGGGCATTGGGATTTAGGACTTATATATTGGAGTAAAACTCTGCAAAGATGCAGAGTTTACATGATTTGTCTTTTTAAAAAAGACAGGTGCGATTTATTTAGCGTTATATGTATTTAGCGTTTTTACATGCCTAAACTATTTTCTGCCTTTTTTCAATCAATCAATCACAGGTTCTCCTATCAGAAACAATTTGGGATTTAAAATAATCTCTTGGCAATCTTCGATGTATCCGTCCTTTCTTCACAATGTTTTGCTGAACAATGGAGAACTTATCATACAGCAACCTGGATTTTATTACATTTATGCACAGACTTATTTTCGGTTCCGGGAATCGGAAGGGGTTGAATCCAATGCAGATCCTGACTCGGACAGCATTAGGAATCCGAAGCAGATGGTTCAGTACATTTCCAAATTTACAGATTATTACCCAGAAGCCATCCTGTTAATGAAAAGTGCAAGAACCAGCTGTTGGTCTGAAAACGTAGAATATGGACTGTATTCCATATACCAGGGTGGAGTGTTTCAATTAAGGAGAAATGATAAGATTTTTGTCTCCATCAGCTATCAAGAACTAGTGGATATGGATAAAGAAGCCAGCTTTTTTGGAGCCTTCCTGGTCTCTTAAAGAAGAGAACAATTAGACATCATGAAGAGGTTGTGGAAGACTTGGAGAATTCTGCTTTTGAAGCAGAATAAGAAGTTAGTTGCACTATCCACAGAATTGGACCAAGTATATAGTTTCTCTGTTAACCACCAGTGAGACCAGTTCAAGGTTCCATTATCCAAACTCCACAATGAATGGTTGGCATGCTATAGATACAGAAATGCCAACAAGCTGTTGTGGGTCCATGAATACTCTTCCAGGGATTTTGTTTTTTGTTTGGAACGGGACAGTTGCATTTGGTTTGTTTCAACAAATTTCTGTTGATCATATGCATGGAATCCATGCACCTAACAAGACAACAGCGAGACCTACATAGTAACAAGTGATTCAAGCTGTCCTGTCGTGTGGGTAGTGTCACTGTGGTGTGAGTTGCATTTGCTGAACTGCTGGACTGACTCTGATGGCAGAATGTAAAAGATAAAAGCAAAATAGATTCCCTGAGTTTCCTTTTTTCAAATCAGAATGGTGAGAGCTGCATCGCTCATTTAGACTAGCACCTGGAAGATTCTTACAGAAAGGTACCATCTCTGATTGCAGGAGAAGAAAAATCACTTATTGCAAAGCTGGACCCTAAATTCACTTCCATCAAGGAGAACGTTCATATACCTGCACCCCTTCATGCAGTTTGAAATGGTACAGTCCTGGGTGGGCTGTATCATGCAATATCTCCAAACATGCTGTTCATTTTTGAGAATGAAAAAAATGTGAATCTCGTTGGGAAATCTGCAAAGAACAGAATTTGCTTCATGTTCTATAATTCGTACCTCCTTTTAATGCAGGACCATTTTTCATATGAAAAGATTCTTTTTAAGTTTTAAGATTTTTTTGTTTTTAAGTTTAAGATTTTTTTTAAATAGCACACTAACAAAAATCGGGCGAATCAGAGCAATTTTTTTTTTTTTTTTTGCAAAGATCCAGATACAAACTGAAGAGGGATATAATTTAGAGGACCCTCAATAAATCAATGGTGCCTTTTGCTCTTGTGAGAATTAGTGTTATCACCTGTAGACTTATGCTGAAGACACAGGAGGTTTAAAAAAAAAGTAAATAACTCTTAACCACAGACTCTGTAAAAGCAATTAAATGTTGCTGAAAGTTTACTGTTTTATTCCAGAAAGATAAGTGACGGTCAAAGAAGCTTCTACTTATTTCGAACTGGAAACACATAACTGTTTAATATTGGATAAAAATCAGTTTATTTCTGTAATGCCAAATAGTACTGGATTGGTATTTAGTAGCAATATTGTATTGAAATGCCATGAACATTTTCACTTGCAGGATGTTTTTTGCATTGTGATTGACAAAACAGTTGCCAGCTGTTTCTCCAGCTTCCACAGCACACCACTTTGATGTACACAGCTTAGTCAATACCATTGTTCGTTGCTCTGTTGTGAACCCCTGAGGATTTCTCTGCTGTCATTGGTGTAGTTTTTCATGTGATCTATTAGCTCAACTTCTCTAAGGGCTTCCTATTAACTTTTTAGTTTGGTTGAGAAGGAAAATCTCACCATAACTACAATTTTGGACAATGTGCTGATTGTAGCCTTACTTCGTTGGCCGATATGTTTGAAAGAGTTACAAATATTGGCCAACTGTTTCTGTAGAAGGAAAATACAACCGTAACTAATTTTGGACAGTATGATTATCATACTTTTACTATGTTGGCCACATACTATGTTGAAAAAGATGTAAATGTAGGCCAACTGCATCTTCAGAAGTAATTTCTTTCAAAATGCTTTTAAATATATGCAAAGAGATACTGAAGTTACATACTGTGTCCAATGTTGGGGTGTAAATATGTAGCAGTGACATTAATATGATGATGTCACGTCATTCCATTTTAGAATCATCATCCTTTGTTCACACCACTGTAAAACAGATGGTCTTTAATTCTGAGCTGAATCGATCAATTCGATGGTCTCCAGTTTGCGATGACAAATCTTGAGGATAGCTGACTTGGAGGCCATGCTGAAATCATACTGGGAGATTTTGCCCAGGTGGCAGCAAGTATGTAAGAACTTGGCAGCCCTCATGCCTCAGTTGTCATGCTCATGGTGATATTAGAAAACAAAGAATTGGAAAGTTCTGGAGATAAAGCCTCCATGACCCATTCCTGTGAACTTAGTTAACAAATCGGAGGGACAAAAGCGAGTGACCATTGTTGTTGTTAATTGCGAAGTCGTGTCCGACCCATCGCGACCCCATGGACAACGTTCCTCCAGGTCTTCCTGTCCTCTACCATCTTCTGGAGTCCATTTAAGTTCACACCTACTGCTTCAGTGACTCATCCAGCCATCTCATTCTCTGTCGTCCCCTTCTTCTATTGCCCTCAATCTTTCCCAGCATTAGGCCCTTCTCCAGTGAGTCCTTCCTTCTCATTAGATGGCCAAACTATTTGAGTTTCAACTTTAGGATCTGGCCTTCTAAAGAGCAGTCGGGGTTGATCTCTTCTAGAACTCACCGGTTTGAACGCCTTGCAGTCCAAGGGACTCGCAGGAGTCTTCTCCAGCACCACAGTTCAAAGGCCTCCATTCTTTGGCGCTCAGCCTTTCTTATGGTCCAACTTTCACAGCCATACATTGCAACTGGGAAAACCATGGCCTGGACTATACGCACTTTTGTTGGCAGGGTGATGTCTCTGCTTTTTAGTATGCTGTCTAGATTTGCCATAGCTTTCCTCCCCAGGAGCAAGCGTCTTTTAATTTCTTGGCTGCAGTCCCCACCTGAAGTGATCTTGGAGCCCAGAAAAATAACGGACTGATCATTAACGGGTAGCAAAACTCTGTTGGGACAGTTTTAAGTTTTGCAGCCCAAGTGTGGTTTGTATACTGTGAAGCAAAGCACCAGTTTAGTTAGATAGCTCATCTTTATTAATGTTGGTTTAACAAATGGAGACAGGGAATGCGATGACAAGCTCTTGACCATCCTTCTGGTTTTTTTAAGCCATGGATATCAAAAATACTGTCACGTGTAGTATATTATTCTTTTTTTCTTGATTAAAAAAATGGGTTTATTCTGAATGCCTCAAACAGTCAGAAGAAATAGGTGATACTTGAGCAGGGAAAAAGGAGAAGATTAGCAAACTCCCAGCAATCCATTTACAGGGCAAGGAAATCTAGACCACCATGTGATGGCATCAAGACCATGTGTCTCCTTGCTGCCATCTAGTGGTACTTTCCTGTTTTCGCAGCTGACCATACAATTTAAAATCACATCATTTTTTTTTTAAAAAAAGCTAGGAAGTTTAAAAACAAGTATGAACCCTTTTGCACATGATATAAAATGCTTTTCTGAGTTCATCTATGTTGGGGATCTTCAGCAGACTTGGAAATGCAACCAATGAGAAAATGATGCGATTCTTCCTATGTATTTTCTTTTTTTAAGTGTGAAATTTCTTACTGAAGTATCTCGAGATTTTGTACTTTCATTTTTAATAAAAAGTTCAGAATTAATTGTGGATTCGTTTATTTTGTTGTCAGACCCCCTTTCATCTGAGCAAAACCCTCTGCAAGCTGTTCAGTAGCCTCCAGATGGGAATTCTTGGGAATTTTGCCAAAAAGGCTGAGAGCCATAATCTCCAGAAAGAGAAGGAAGTCATAGCATGGCAAAAAACCAGGAAGAATAATAAATGAAATAGAATAGGAATAGAGTAGAGTAGAAGGAATAGAATAGGATATGTAGGAGATAGAATAGAATAGAATTCTTTATTGGCCAAGTGTGATTGGACGCATAAAGAATTTGTCTCCGGTGCATAAACTCAGTATACATACAAACAACAAAGTGATAGGTCATAGATCATAAATCATAGTTTCAATCATTAATCATAAGATACAACAACAATGATAATCATAGATACTAATAGGAGAAGGTTATGGGAAAGATGAGATGAGAAGGATAATAGCAATAAAGCTTACTACATGGGTAAATATTTTTAGGCCTAAGAGTGCTGTGGGAATTAGGTGTTCAGAGTGATGGCATGGGGGTGGTGGTGGGGGAACTGTCTTGTCTAAATGTTTTGGCATGAAATGCCCGGGAGAAGTTGAAACAATTTGTGTCTAGGATGTGAGGGGTCTGTAGATAACTTCTCAGCCCTCTTTCTGGCTCGTAGTATACAGGTCCTCAATGGAAGGCAGGCTGGTAGTAATTGTTTGTTCTGCATTTCTGACTTGAAGTTTGTCCTGTCCTGTTTGGTTGCTGTGCCAAACAGGACAGTTATTAAGGTACAAATGACAGACTTAATTATTCCTCCATAGAACTGTTATCACCGGATCTTTGGCCAATGCATCACTTAACTGTTTTTGTGGTGGGCAAACAGGCAAACTGCAACAATGCATTACTGCAAAAAAAAATTTTTTTTTTAAATGCATAAGCCAAAATATTGACAGGCTGTTTCGAAGGCTGCTCAGTTTTTTCCATGTGTTTTTCCTTTCATGTTGCAAGCATGAAACAAAGTGCACACACACAAAAAAATCATTCAAAAGAAAATGATGGAAAACTAATAAATGATAAAATTATTTGTTATATTAATGGAATGAATGGAAGGAGGAAGAACACAAAAGGGAATAGGCATATTATTTGTGCTTGTTAAAGCTAAAACTGAATGTTAATATAAACCTTTGAATAAGCTGTATATTTAAAATATGAAATTGCAGGTAGTCCTCGACTTAACAACAGTGACCGAAGTTACAAAGGCACTGAAAAAAGTTACTTATGGCCATTTTTCACACTTAAGACCATTGTAGCCTCCCCATGGTCAGGTGATTTACATTTGGATGCTTGGCCACTGGCTCATATTTATGGGTTGCAGTGTCGTGGGGTCATGTGATCCCCTTTTGTGATCTGACAGGCAAAGTCTGAGGAAAAAACCACATTTCACTTAACCATGTTACTAATTTAACAACTGCAGAGGTTTACTTCACAACTGGCAAGAAAAGTCATAAAATGGGGCAAAACTCACTTAACAAATTTCTCACTTGGCTTAGCTCACATCAAAACTGCGTGCTTCTGGAGAAATAGGAAATCTATGCCAAAGAAAAACATTTGTGCCTTGGGATGGGGTGTGTGTGTGTGTGTGTGTGTGTGTAATAAGGAAAATGGCCCTTTCGAAATTGATCAATGGTTCTTAAATCCAGTCCTTAATGCTTAAATAATAGTCTTTTTCCAGCCTCAGTATAGTTCTCTTAGCTAATCTGTGTAACAGAAGGACTGCCATTTTGCCTCCCAACTTCAGTTTGTCGTAGCGTGTCCTCCATCTGCAGCCAGTGTTTTTGAAGTACCATCATGTTAGATAGGATGTCTTCACAACACAGACCAGCTGTTGAGAAATGCCTCAGGAAGTAACAGAAAGCAATGTCAAGAGCTATCAACTGTTTATCTTGTTCAGCTAAGAGGTTTGCAGTAAAATGAGGTGTTCTTTGGATTTGTATTCTTTTCCCAGCATCACAGTTTTGTTTTCTTAGCTCCATGCTGTGTAATACATTAAAAAAGGTTGGGGTGTAGAGGAATAGGATGGAAAATCTTGAGGGATAATTTCAGGGTGCACTGAGAGAATTACATTCCTAAGTGATCCTGTGTGCAGTATATAGAATAACAACAGGTGGAGGGGACCTTGGAGGTCCTCTAGTCCAATCCCTACTCAAGCAGGAGACCCTATAACCGTGGTGGTGAACCTATGGCACGCGTGCCACAGGTGGCACGCAGAGCCTTCTCTGGGCACACGCACCGTCGCTCCAATCCTAGGCCTTTCAGCTGGGTTTTATAAAACCTTTTCACTTTAGGCCTCCACCGCTGTGTGCAAAAAAAAAAAAAAAAAAAAGGTTCAATCTATCAATTTCAACTCCGAAAAAAAAAAACTATGCAAAGTTGGAATAGATTGATTGAACTTTTTAGTCCCACCCAGTCTGCTGTTAACACTGACCACTGCAGCCAGGGCCACCCAATGGGCCACACCCATCCGGCACCTGACGATACATAACTGGGTTTTGGGTTACAGTTTGGGCACTCTCTCTAAAAAGTTTGCCATCACTGCCCTATAACATTTCAGAGAAATGCTTGTCCAATCTTTTCTTAAAAACTTCCAGTGTTGGAGCACCCACAATTTCTGGAAGTAAGTCATTCCACTGATTAATTGTTCTGTCAGGAAATTTCTCCTTAGTTCTATGTTGCTTCTCTCCTTGATTAGTTTCCATCCATTGCTTCTTTTGCCTTTAGGTGCTTTGGAGAAGAGCTTGACTCCCTCTTTTTTGTGGCAGCCCCTTAAATATTGGAACACTGCTATCATGTCACTCAATAGTCTTTTTCATGAACTAAACATACCCAATTCCTGCAACCGTTCTTCATATATTTTAGCCTCCAATCCCCTAATGATCTTTGTTGCTCTTCTCTGTACTCTTTCTAGAGTCTCAACATCTGCTTTATATCATGGTGAGCAAAACTGGATGCAAATTTAAATAGATTTTTTTTTAAATTCTGAAATAGCCACCACTATTTCATTTCCCAGCGGTTCTGAACTCTTTCAATAAGTAAAGTTAATGTTGCATTGTCATTATAAAGGCATCAGTATCCATTTCTCATCATGGATATGGGAAAGGAATTGGCTATTATCTACCATTCCATCAACCCAGCATTTGCCTCATGGACATTACAATATTGTTTTACTGCATCCTCTTAAAAACATCACAGGTTCAAAATGGAGTGGAACATCAGAGAATGCTCTTACCGGTAGATTAGACAGCTGTGATACAGGTATTCTGTATGAAAATTCCATCAATAAATAGGGTCCAGGCAGAAAGCAAGAACCATGCCCCAGATCCTTTCTCTTAGCCAGCTAATGTACTTCTGTTCACTTGAGTCCAGACTTGGTTGCGCCTTGGCCATTGTCTTTAAATTTTAGCCAGCCCAAAAGAGGCTGGGAGGAACTTTTCCAGCTTCCTCCCTTTAATTTTTTTCCCTCTAGCAGATTAAAAAAAAAAGGATCAACAAGGATGCCATCATACATAGGAGCCAACAAGTCTATAGCACTCTTCCCCTTGTTTCTTTTTCATTTATCTCCTGTAGCAGTGATGGCAAACCTTTTAGAGACCAAGTGCCCAAACGCAACCCAAAACCCACTTACGCATCATCGGGTGCTGGGTGGGTGTGGCCCATTGGCTGGGTGTGGCCAATTGGGAGGGTGTGGCCCATTGGGTGGGCATGGCTGCAGTTGTAATGGCAGACTGGGTGAGACTAAAAAGTTCAATCAATCAATTCCAACTTTGCAAGATCTTTTTTTTCCCATAAGAAGTTGAAATTGACTTGATTGATTGAACCTTTTTTTTTTTTTTGCACACGGCAGCGGAGGCCTAAAGTGAAAAGGTTTTATAAAATCCAGCTGAAGGCCTAGGACTGGGGTGATGGCCTGCCTACCCACAGAGAGGGCTCTGAGTGCCGCCTCTGGCACCCATGCCATAGGTTCGCCACCACTGTCCTGTAGCATGAAGACTAAAACAGCTGTAGGGAGCCTCCATTTTTTGCAGAACTCTGTCACAAAAATCACAGGAGCCATTCAGACAACACATAATAGGGATTAATTTAGTCCTAAATCTCTTTAGAGCTAAGCAGTTGGGATAATTGATCCATTTTTCTTGTTCCCATTACATGCTTTCCCTCCAAAAGACCAATATGTGTGAGCTTGTGGAAAGTTGTTTATAGCTTATATTTAATATTCATACAATCTCTTTGCCTCAAGGATTAACTAGTAGACCTAAAATATGGAGCTGGTTCAATCAACTTGCCAGGTGGGAACAACCAACCAAGTAATACAAGCATTTGTCTTAAATTCTTATACTTTTGACAGGACAGTAGAAGGGGGTAATAAACTTTTCCCTATCTTGGCACCCTTTAGATATATTGGACAAATTTGAAATGTCCTAGTTAAATTGATTGACTGTTGAGAGAAAGACAATTCAGTCCACATTCATGATCTGCTCTCTCAATGCCAGTATTTCATCAGCACCTTCTGCATCTTTGTAGCCTAACAGAAATCTGGTAATCCAAAAATAAGGGAAGTCCTTTCTCCCCAGAGAAGGTGTAGCTTATACAACGCTACACTTCAGGGCTGCTAAAAAAGATTTCAGTTGTGCTGAATCAACATTTTCCCATTGTCCTAATAATGGGAGAGAGTAGGGACCAAGGAGTCTCATTTGGAGCTGTCCATGGTCCTGCCATCTCATGAACTATAGATTTTATTTCCCTTATAAGACAGTACAGTGTCTTAATTTGGCACTACCGGTATTAACTTCTGCACAGTTCAAATCACTATTGAATGGATGCCTGCCAGCTGCCAAAACCTACTGCTGATAACAGACTTTGATGTAGGCATTATCCCAGTAAGTAAGAGGTATGTGGTGAAATTGTGAGGGTAAACGATAAAAAGGCAAACTATTATTTGTAGGTCTCTGAGTATAATTCTAACCCTTAGAGATCCTGGCTGCAATTATCACACCGTTCCATTCAGTTGGAGGATGGGCTTTAAACAGAGAGTATGGCTCAGTGCCAGCACATTGCCTTCCCCCAAGAAGATATTAGGTGAAGTGAAAGCAGAGTGCTGATTGGAAGCTCTAATAATGAAGGCAAAGCTCAGATAATTGGGAACATATGGCCAAAAAAAAAGTCATTGGAAAGATCCTAATGTTTGGGGAAATCGAAGGCAATTAAAGAGGAGAGCAATTTAGTAAATCATAGTTTGCAATTGAAAACTTACAGGTCCACTGAATCCGCTAAAACCAACCCAATACAGACAGATTAGGACTTAATGCACCATGGAACTCAGCCAGTGGCAGAGCTCACCTAACACAGCTGCGTTTTCACTGTGCGCCAAACTTGGTTTGGTTTAACTTTGGCTCTGGGATTTAGCCTTTTCTTCGAACCTTGATCCGCTTAGTTAACTCATGGATCCGTAGATTTCGGGGACCAGGGAAAGGCGTTCAATCAAGTCGTCCGAATCAGGTCAGTCAAGTTGCTGATAACGGACCACGTCGTGAGGACGCGACCGCTCACGTGTTCTTTCCAAACACGCTTCCATTTATCCCGCCGCTGGGACTCTCACCATCGCCTCCCGATCCGACCCCTCCGCTCGTCCACTTGTTCGACAGAGAAGCGCATTGGTGGCCTTTTGTGTTGCGCGCTGGCCACCCTCACTTCCCCCGGGCGCTCCGGACCGGATCGGGGTCCTTGCTGGGGGGGGGGTGGGCATGGGGAGACTGCTGTGCCCGTCTGGGAGGGAGGCGGAGCGGAGCCGGGGCGCTGCAGGTGGGAGAGCCCTGTCGCCGCTGCAGAAGCTCCCGAAGGTCGATCCCTTGTGGGGACGATTCCATGCTCCGATGAGTCGCGCGCATGCATGGAAATAAGAGTAAAAATGATGATGATGATGATGATGATAGGCAGCTGCTTCGTTTTAACAGTCCTGTCCAGGAAAGAATTCCTTTTCCCCTTCCGATGCCTGAAGCCGCGCACTCTGCCCTCTCCGCAGCCGGGGATCAGCGGCGTCTTTGAAAGCTGGGACGGGGCTCCTTCCCCGGGGACGCGTAGCCAGCTGGGCGTGCCGGCCCTGCCTCTCCTCCGCTTCGCCTCGTTCCTGCTGTTCCGCCGTCGCCACGCGGGTAGAAGGAAAAAAGTTGGTCGTGGAAGTGGGCCAGGTAAGCCGGAGGGCGAGGGAGGGATCGTGGTGGTGGAGCTGCTGCAAGAAAGAGGGTCAGTCTTTCTTGTTTAGGGGACTCTCATTCCCCCCTCCCCATAATGGACCCCTTTGAAAAGCAGGAGGTTCCCTCCTGATCTTTTAGGTGCCTCCTACAGATGTCGTAGCTGCGGTTTAGAGGTAGAGGGTGTCTTGCCTAACAACAATATATTAATAGTGTTACTAGAATTATTAACGATACTGCCTAATAATAATAATAATAGATGGGAGGTTGGCATTTTCCCGTGTGCCCTGGAATTCTATAGCCATTGGAAGACTTATCCTGCCGAATGACAGTATTTTACTTTAATTTGTTTTGCTCTCCTGATTGGTGTGCGTAAAAAACAAAAATTAGAATATTTCATCAAAGGGGATTTGATCAAAGTGCTCAACAATAAAAAGAAAATAAAACAATGAGATTGGGACACATCCAAACAGAATTCAGTGGAGTAAGCCAGCATTTTGTCATTGCTCCAGACTGAGAGATTTTTTATTTTGATTGGTGATCTGCATCTGACTTGTGTAAGATGGATGGATGGATGGATGGATGGATGGATGGATGGATGGATGGACAAATTGTAAGATATGGTCCCTCCCCTCCTTTTAACACTTTTGGAAAATAAAAGCTCCACAGTTAATTTATAGCTATTATATTTCATCAGTTATGTTATATTTTATTGCATTTCATCATTTATTTGAAAAATACCATTTATTTGGACTGAAAGCATGTTAAACTAAATTTCTAGAATTTCTATCTTAGAAACTCCAGATATTTACTTTTTACTCTACTCTTGTTGAACAACAGACCATTTCTTCATAGAGCTTCATTTGTCTTAGGTAAAATTTATCTGTGTAAAAATGGTGCAGGTTAGGCTAGGTTAAGAGAATAAAACTGAATTCATACAACTAAGTCAATGAAAGAATAAATAATTGGTCTTTTTAAATTTGTCCATTGTCATTCTTGAGTTATTTTATTGTAGACTTTTTAGGAGTTTAATACTTAATGTAATAGATTAGAAAAGGGGTTTCTTGTGTTGTCTGAAATATACAGATTGAGTTTGACTGGTCAACTAAGTCTGATTTCACTGCATAATAATTGATTCTTACCTGAACTGATGCCTTCCAGATGTGTTGGCACTTTAAATTCACAGGTTAAGCTTCTCTTATACCACAGTGACCTTTAATAATCCAGGTAAATAATGCAAAAGAATGCCTGTTGGTGGAAAAGGTTTCACAAATACTTTGATGTCAGAAGTGGAAGTGATATTGACACAAAGGGTCACATTGGCTAAAGGGATGGAAGTAGAAGCTCAGCCTGGTTTCTTTCAGAGTGTTGTTTCTATATTCCTACATGCACATTTTTTAGTCAGTGACTGCAGCCTCTCTCCAAAAAGGGATGTGAGCAAGTCCCTCTGGAGAGAAGAATCACACCTTTTCAAAGTAGACATTCCCATTTTCAGCAGCCCTTCTTCTACCAAGAGAACTCCAGTGATGAAATAGACACGTGAACCAGCTCATGATTAATGCAGAAGCAAAACAATGAATATCATAGATGAGTTACTTTGTTAGAGAAAGCTGAATCTCATGAAAGGACTGGAAAGTTTTTATGTTAGTTTCCTCTTTCTCCTCCCCCTCCAATCCATGTCTTGCTTATCTGGCATGTTTGTTTTCATTTAGCATATCTCAAGTTCTGTTTCCTGCCACCATCAGAGCACTGCTTCCTTCTTCTCAGATATGAGGAGCAGCTGATGTAGTCCTTTCAGATCATCAAACACTGACTGAATGCATAACAAAGGCAACTTACAGCTCATCATGGATTATGACAACAACACAGAAACTGATGATTCATATTTGTTCCCTGCACCTCTCCTCACAGGTGTCACTGTGACTTGTTTGTTCTTCTTCATGATTGGAATTTCAGGAAACATGACGACGATGCTGGTGGTCTTCAAGTTCCGGGATATGAGGACAACCACCAACTTGTACCTCTCCAGCATGGCTTTCTCAGATTTCTTGATCTTCCTTTGCATGCCCCTAGACCTCTTCCGCCTCTGGCAGTATCGGCCCTGGAATTTTGGGGATCTTCTCTGCAAGCTCTTCCAATTTGTTAGCGAGTGTTGTACCTACTCAACCATACTCAGCATCACAGCCCTGAGCGCGGAGAGATATTTTGCTGTCTGCTTTCCACTCAGAGCCAAGGCGGTGATCACCAAGAGCAAAGTCAAGCTCCTTATCCTTGTGCTCTGGGTGATATCTTTTGTCAGTGCTGGGCCCATCTTCGTTCTGGTTGGAGTTGAGCACGAGAATGGGACAAATCCTTTGGATACCAATGAATGTCGTATCACAGAGTATGCCATTCATTCAGGGTTGCTGACCATTATGGTTTGGACCTCTAGTGTCTTCTTTTTCCTGCCGGTTTTTTGCTTGACAGTTCTCTACAGCCTCATTGTGAGAAAGCTTTGGAAGCGAAAGAAGAAAAACATTGGGCCAAAAGCCTCCATCAGGGACAAGTACAACAGACAAACAATAAAAATGCTAGGTAAGGTACCTGATATACTTTTCCCAAGACAAGCCTGCTTTTTCTGTGAATTCAAGATGTGAGGTCCATAGTATTGTCTATTGAACCAATTAAAAGTCAGGTTGAAACATGCAACATTTTAAGTAACATGTCCTTCAGATTAGATTTAAGAAGAGACTGGACAGCCACTTGTCTGAAATGGTATAGGCTCTCCTGCTTGAGCAGCGGGTTGGATTAGAAGACTTTCAAGGTCCCTTCCAACTCTATTCTGATTGATTGATTGATTGATTAAGAATGCTATGTAACTTAAAACAGCTTATGTAGCCTTGCATTCTTTAGCAAATTACATTATAGAATAGCTATACTAGCTATGCATGTCTCATTGGTATATAATGAAAAGTTTGATTCTTCCTCAATGATTCTCCAGATTGTTATTTGATCAAGAGGTCCTGATCTAGAACATATCCATTTGGATATGTGGACTGGACTGATCAGAAAGTTCCATTCAGCTTTAGCTTCCCTGCCTCCAGGTGTGGTTGAGTTATTATGATGGATTAGAAGTGAGGACATTCAGCTTCAACTCCATCCTCGGCCATGGAAGTTCACTGGATGACTGTGAACCAGCCATTCACTCTCTGCCCATCCTAACTCACAAGGCTGTTGCTGTGGTCGATGCAAAAATTGGTGGAGGTATGCTGTTTTGAGCTACTGGAGGAAAAGCATGATATTCATATAATAAATAAATAACTTTAAAAGTGTACCCATTTTGAACTGAACTGACATGGTCATAAAACATAAATAACCTGAGGACATGATCTGAACACCTAGAAAAATGAAATGATTGCCTCTGGGCTCTTGCAAGGTGTACTTTTTCACTGTCCTCAATCAATAGGTTAGGCTAGGTCAAATAATCTGTTTGGTTCCTCATGCAGATGGTGAGATGCTTCAGGCTCTGATGATTACATTTCTCCCTGCTGTGACTTTCCAACATCTTTGAAATAACTAGGAAAGGCTTGCAGATTTAACGGGCTTTCTAGCCTTCTGCAATATATGGAGTCATAATTTTACCAAATTGTGACTGAGCCATACCTAACCTAGGTTAAAGCTATCAAGTTTAATGTCTTAGTTATGAATATCCATTGGATCTATAATGATCAGGTTGAATATTGTATTGGATAGATTTTTAAGTCAGTCTTGCATATAGCATTGCTGATCAAAAATGATGGTCAGAATCTACAAATTTATTTTCCCTTAGGAAAACTGATACAAGACAGTTTGATAGACCAGATTGCACTTTGAAGCTTGAGTGAGGAAATCCATCATGCCTGAAAGGTGCAGTTTTCTGCTTGGGAACATGTGACAAAGAGTAATGTGATAACTTGCTTCCAGATACCCATTAGACTGGATTGCATCCAATAAGAGATTCATGTTTAATAAACATTACAAAGAGTTAAACATATAACACTGGCAGAAATAAAAATAATCATTTTTCATGTATTTAATAGCTTTTTCCTTTGGTCACATTAAAAATATTTACATTTTGGAAGCAGCCTTTGCAAAGACTTGTGGAGTGCAAATTTGACACTTCTGCTACTTGCTATTGAAGGAAAATGAACATATCGTAAAGAATAATAGAGCTGGAAAGTTAACACTATTGTCATAATCCTGTACACTACTAAAAATAAGCTTTATAGAATACAGGGAGACTCACTTGCGTAGTCACAATCATCATTCAGGAATGAACTGCTTTGGACTCAGTGGGAGCATCTGCATAGTGGCGTCAAAAGGCCAATCCATGATTGTATGGTCAAAGCCTCACCCTTTTCATGTGCAACACATGTAAAAGGGGGGCAGTCCTTTGATTGCATGACCATCACATAGACTTCTTGGACCCCCTCCCCCAATAGATGCCTCTGTGAATTGGGAAGGCAGTTGTTCAGTAGATGAATTTTTATGATTGTTGACAAATGTTTTTGTCAGGAAGACCAAAGAGAAGTTGACCAAGCATCAATAAAAGTCTTTATTAGGACTTATCTTGTGATAAGGGTGGTGAAGTATACTTTGCCTGTATTGTGTTTGCTGATAGCAGCTCAGAGGTCCTGTTTCAAAACTGGGGAACTTGGAAGCAGCCCCTGCCCTGTAGACTACTGAAGATCTGACAGTCCCCATCATTTTAATTTTATTGATTCAGGACTTTGCCTTGTCTCAACGCACTGGAGTAGAGTGTGGTCAAAGATATGAATGAAATAGGTTACATCAGTGAAGTATGGTTGCAGCACTAGATTTTGGTTTTATTGAGGTTTTGTTTATTTTTATGGTTTTATATATAGCTTTTATTGTTAGGTTGTCAGCTGCTCATAGTTTGGTTTTAAGATGGGTAGCTTTACAAAGTTTTTAAGTAAATAAATGTCTAACTCTAACTGGTTATGCAAATGCATCTCCTAGGACAGGGGTAGGCAACCTTGGCTCTTTTATGACTCATGGACTTCAACTCCCAGAATTCCTGAGCCAGCATGGCTGGCTCAGGAATTCTGGGAGTTGAAGTCCACAAGTCATAAAAGAGCCAAGGTTGCCTACCCCTGTACTTAGGACTTTGCTTGAGCTGGTTAAGCACATTGTGTGAAACAGCCATCCTATTAGATTAAGAAAAAAATGTTTCACAAGTTGCAAGAAAGGTGGTTGGGGGAAAGAAAAAGGAATGGTCTTTCTGTATTGCTATAGAAAATCATTGATTTTACATACTGCAATAAAAGGGATTGGGCTTTTACCCCCCCCCTTTTATTGTTTGTTTAAAAAATTATAATTGCCTCTCAACTCCAGAAATAGTTATTGATCCTGTTTTCTCCCAAACTCTTTACCTGCGATCCAAAGAGGAGGTAATAGCTACAAAAAGCGTCAATTTGTAATAATTTTATGGTTTTAGTCAGTCTTGTTTCTTTTGGTGGAACAACTGTACATCTCTGAATTTTATTTTTTGGTTAAGTGGGAAAAAAAATATCCTAGAGCAGTTTATGACTAAAGTTCTGACTGCTGCCTTTCAATCGACATAATTTGCTCTCAGTTGCCATCCCCCCCCCCAGAATTCAAGGCTGTCTCCCAGCTCTGATTTCTTTTCAGAAGAACATTCAACATAGACATGACAATTTGGTTTCCCCCAATAAATCACAATTGAAGTTACAATAAAGCTCTGTGGTGTTTTATTGGGCTGTGCCAATAAGCATGTAGCAATTTGAGAGGACAATCAGGCTAGTATTTTAAGATGTTATAAGATTATCATCTTTTAACACAGGGGTCTCCAACCAACCGGTCCATGGACCGGCACCAGTCTGCAGCATGCCAGAAACTGGGCCGCACAAACAAGCAAATCCACATCCACGGGATGCAGGCAGCACAAAGAAACCACACACTCTCCGGACCACAGAAAAATCTCTCTCCATGGAACCCATCCCTGGTGCCCAAAAGGTTGGGGGCTGCTGTAACATCTTAAAATAATGACCTGATTTTTGATAGATAGGCTTTCAAGGAAAGAACAGAGGAGACATTGACTTTAGTATGCAGAATGGGTGAATGCTGAAGTGTTCAGGATCAGAGAAGAACCGATGTACAACAATGGCTCAAGGAGTTTTAAAGCTGTTTTGCTCTAGGATCCAGCCAAACCAATCCTTGATTATGCCCCAACAGCTGCTTTGACTCATCACAGAAGAAACAATGGCTCTTTTCAGTTGTTCAGGTTAGAGTAGCTCAGTTGAACAGTGTAGCTTGATTCAATCAGAACAGAGCTGGAAAGGGCCTTGGAGGAAACCCTATACCATTTCAGACAGGTGACTGTCCATGACTGTCCAATCTTTTCTTAAAAACCTCCAGTGATGAAGCATCTGCAACGTCTGAAGACAAGCTGTTCCAATGGTTAATTGTTCTCACTGTTAGGAAGTGTCTCCTTAATTCCAGGTTGCTTCTCTCCTTGATTAGTTTCCATCCAGTGTTTCTTGTCTTGCCTTCTAGTGCTTTGGAAAATAAATTGACCCCCCCTCTTCTTTGTGGTAGTCTCTCAAATACTGGAATACTGCTCTCATGTCACCCCTAGTCTTTCTTTTCTCTATAATAGACATACTCAATTCCTGTAACTGTTCTTCTTATGTTTTTGTCTCCAGGCCTTTAATCATCTTAGCTGCTCTTCTTTGCACTTTTTCCAAAGTCTCAACATCTTTTTCCAAAGTCAGCCAGTTACAAATCCATCTGGTGATGAGGCTATCTATCCCACATTTTTCTAGTTTACCAAGAAGTATGTTGTGGTCTACTTTGTTGAAAGCTTTGCTGAAGTCTCAGTGTGCTATGTCCACAGCATTTCGCTGGTCTACTAATTTAGTCACTTTGACAAAGAATTAAATAAGATTGGTTTGGGATTCAAACAGGTTTATTTATTTATGTATTTATTAGCAATATTTAGCTATAGTTTGTTCCAGTTTAGTAGACTCCAGGATCCAACAAAATCTAGAGAAGTGCACTAAAAATATATGAGGAGAATAAAAACCAACAATTAACAACAATATCCAAGGCAATTTTCAATTAATTTAAGGGGCATATACCCCCTAAAATAGTGCTACTTTGGTTTCTTTTTGAAATGATGATGATGATGATGATGATGATGATGATGATAATAATAAAGTTGGAAGGGACCTTGAGGTCATCTAGTCCAACCCCCTGCTCAGGCAGGAAACCCTATCCCATTTCAGACAAATGGCTGTCCAGTCTCTTCTTAAAAATTTCCAGTGTTGGAGCATTCACCGCTTCTGGAGGCAGGTTGTTCCACTGGTTAATTGTTCTGTCAGGAAGTTTCTTCTTAGTTCTAGGTTGCTTCTCTCCTTGATTATTTTCCATCCGTTATTTCTTGTCCTGCCAGCAGGTGCTTTGGATAATAGCTTGACTCCCTCTTCTTTGTGGCAGCCCCTGAGATATTGGAACAGTGCTATCATGTCCCCACTCGTCCTTCTCTTCATTAAATTAGACATACCCAATTCCAG